AATGATAAAGTCAACCTCTCTTCCATTGGGACAGTGCAGGAGAGACACACTGCATAAACAAAGTTACCAAAGCAACAGCTAGAAAAGATCTGCCTTCAGTTAATCCTGGAAATAAAAGGAAGGGATGGGCACGACTTCAAAAGGAAAGCTTCACAGCTGATGTGTCAATTTTACATAATTTTCTGGTTACTGCTTAAAGTGAGAAACCATGAAGATCAAAGAATTGCTGTCTATAGAGTGAAACTACATTCATTACATGCAAACTTTTCCCAGCTGTCTGATCAGAACTGGCAGCAAGAACAGACATGATGAGTGAGTTCTTGCAGCCAGTCTTGATCAATGCTGACTTACAAACCCACTGAATCCTGACTCCTTTTTCCTTTCAGTAGGGGTTTTTCACAGCACTAGATAAAACATTTGAAAAAAAGCACATTTTGAAAATACAATCAGTTCTTAATTCTGATATGCTCCGACTTGTAGACAGTAAATTTGCCTTCTGATTTTTTAAAGAGAAGCAAAGGAGAAACACCACTTTCTACCCAATTGTATGTTTTAAAACTCTTGTACTACTGTACTAAGGCTTTATCAGCTGAAACTTTAGGTTGATGGAGCTCACTGGCATCAACAGAAAATAGAATACGCAAAACTTTCAGACCTGTTTGAGCCATTACCTACTGCCTCAGTTAAGTACAAGCTGAACATATTGGAGAAGTTCATTAAAACATTCAGATTTCTGTCCCCTCTACTTTTATTTTTTCTCTCTTTTGCTCCAATACTGTTGCTGTCCTTATCTACCCAAGTGCAACTGCCAGAAAGAAATAAAATTCAGAAATAATATTTTGCATTGTAGCTTTGAATTTTTTAAATAAGGTATTCTCATTCATTTGAATTTCAGGATTCAAGTATGATCCTTCTGATCAGTGGTAAGGGAGCCATAACAACATAGGAAACCTGACATACGTACAGTTTTCAATCATGAACTGCTCACTGTATTCAGCATCAGAAAAATCACACTAATCTGATGATACTTCTGATTTAAGCAAGGGGCCTGCCCATTATCTTAGGACGTCTCTGCCACTTGCTCAGCATGCCTATGGGTTTGACAAGCAACCTACCACGCTTGTAAGCGACAGCCTGTGTGGCACCCATGCCCTTTGCACACAAGAGATGACTACAATAGCTCCTGCCTCTGGAAAGAAGCAGTAAGTCAGCTTCATAGTAGCCACAGGCTAAAAGTGCATCTGCACATCTGACTTGCTTGTGTTTTCAGAAGGACAAAATTTTCATAGGGCTTGCTGGCCTGGTGCTGCAGAGACAAGCCATCAAACCACTTTCCTTCACAGCAGTTCAGAGTGGCGCCAGCAGACCGTGTAATTGCTTTTCTTACATTATGCTATACAAACCCCAATTTCCATCCTTAACTAAAACCTACAATTTTAAGTATTGCCCTATTTAAATCTTCCATAAGGTTTTCTAATATTGTCAGCACCAGCCCCCAGGTAGGTCAGCAGTAGTTTTCAGTGGAAAGGACTGAAGGGAAGAAACAAGCAAGGAACAACATTACCCAAACTGTTCCTGCAGAACTCTCCTCTGTCGTCCTGGCCCCCACCTCCTCCCTTGAATGCTGAAGGGTTTTATTTCCCTCTCGCTCAAAACTGTGTAACATTACACGTCCACAGCTATGGAGAACTGAGAGACCAGGTTGTGGGTAGCAATAAAAATGGGAGTAGGTGAAGGCAGAAAAGGATGGAGGAACTTTCTGTTGTACTTTAGCATGGATCTGACCTCAGGGTAATGCAGTATTTGTGGAGTTAGGTAAAATATTAATAATGAGAAATTCTTCTTGACATCTATACTTTTGGAAACATTTCACAGGGGAAAAGGCAAACATCACTGGCACATTTCATAATTGGCTGAAAAGTGAAATGACTTGCTCAAGGTCACAAACCAGTTGCAGGACAAAAACTGGAGGCAAAAGCTGAGAGCTAGGGGTCGTCCAAAGCAGGTCATGATTCCAGATGCCAAAGTGTAGCGTGCCCTGCGCAGCACAATACAGAGAAAGGCTGCTTTATGCAGACCCCTGAGCTGCCACCTTTTGAATTTCAGTCGCATTTTAAAACCTGCTTGCTCTTGCCTTCCTATTGATGTATGCCCAAACAGCAGTTAACTCTGAAAATCTTGTCTGTGGGCTTCCTTGCTGCCTGCTGCACTGGACTACACCATCTCACAGCAGAGGATAAAGAGGGAGAAGTTTAAACCTATTACAGTATTTATCAATAACCAAAACTCTAAGATGTACTGTGTATTATTACAAAAACTTTATTCCTTTTGGTGCTCCAGAATCATACTTCTCTTGAACACACTTCCATGTGCACAGAAGTACGCAGAATTAAGATTGAAAATGTATTTTCCAAATAGCCTCATGAAACTAAATTGGTATATACCTGCCTATGCTGACTATGCAGGCTTCATACAGGCTATGCATCCCACCTCATATATAATGCTAGTACATCTCAGAAGAGCATGAGAGAATGTGGCTGCTTCTCTTTTCAAAAATAAAAGAAAGGTGAATCAAAAAGCTCAAAACCTGGTACACACCAGCAGGCAGGGAGAGCTATGTGATGCCTACCTACCTTGAACAGCACTGAAGGGAGTAACTGGCCAAGTCATAAGGGTAACACAGCACATTCACAAAAAATCTCACTTCAGAAAAATACTTTGTCACTAAGGCTAACTGCAACTGCATGGTAAAATACAATGGGTAAAACACTAAACCCAGTTAGTCATTGCCAAAATGCCCAGGGACCTTGGCAGTGTCCGAGCTTCACAGGGTTTTGCCCCCACCTCTAAAGGGGCATTTTTAATTGTTAAAATACAATTTCCTAACAGTTTGGTGGTGCCTTCTGCAGTGTCCTCAGTGGGTATTTTAATTAACCTAATTTGTTTCACAATACGCCAGATATATGTTCAGCCATGGAGGTTGCGTATGTACTGTGTTACCCGGTGCTTTGGCTTAATTTCTGTGGACATTTAGCAGGAACTACCTCAGGGAAACAACAAGGAAGAAAATACATTCAGAAACTACAGATCTATGCTAGACTTTCAGGGTCTTCTTAGTTTTAGGCTATTTTTCTCTCATTCATCAGAAAAAGCAATTTTAGTAGAATAAACTGTTTGCATAGAACTTATCATTTAATCTAAATGTGCAGTTTAGACTGGGAAAATTTAAAATGGAGTTATCAAACCTTGAGATTACATGGCAATGTACCAAACCAATACATTATTAATATCTTTGGGTGAAACCTGGGATTAGATCATGGCCATGGAATAAAAAAGGCATGGGAACTAATGACAAATTTAAGGTACTTTTTGTAGTATTTTAACTTCTTTGCTTATATGCAGAATACTGGATACTTTGAAACAATTACTTAAGGGCTGCATTTCCTTCCACTTTTTCCACCATCACATTTTGGTTTAAGCATTCACTGACTGCTTTGTTAAAAACCCCAATCACTGTGACCGTGAAGGAGGGGATGGGGTCCCAGGTATTAACCCAGCGAGCTCCAGGATCTGTTCAGTTGCCCCTCAGAGGTCAATGGTCCCATCAGAAATTTGTTTTGACTATAATGCAAATTTGCAATGAGGTAAATTATTTACCTGGTGTGCCTTCTCACCACTGAAGAAAACCATTGCTTATACAGTGCAACAACAACAGCTCTCTGCAGCGAGAAAGTCGAGACTCTCATTCTACCGAGAAACCCACCCGCATAAGCTGAGCTGTTAGCACCTTGGATTTGCATTCAGCAGAGTTTTTAAAAAGTTGACTTCAGCTTTAAAACTAGACCAAAACTTTATCAACAACTGAACTTGTAACTTGCTTGCCATCTGAAACTCCTCTGGTAGTCTCTGTTAAATCTGATGAACCAACCACTTAGCAGATTTCTCAGAAACCAGGCGGCTCACATGGAACATGCTGTGATTGTCTTGACAGTACTGAGTACCCTCAGCCCTTACCCAAGTAAATGGGAGCTGAGATGCTCTGTTCTCTGACATTTGCTGGTATGCTCAGCATCTCACAGCAGCAAGAGATGCTGACTATCACTAATAATGCAATGGTTAGTCACTCTACAGTATCCGAGGTTTCTCTAGCACATGATTTTTGAACTTAGACCTTTTCTCATCAATGGTTTGTTAAGCGACAGGAATGACTTGCTCAGTACTGAATAAAATACAAAACCTCCCTGCATACGTGGAACTTTTTGTGTGAAAAACAGACCATGCAAGAAGACCTTCAGTGGAGAGGGAAAGGAAAAAAGAGAAGAAGAAAATCGTGTCAATTGTTATGTACTTCTCGCTACTTCCAAAGCATATTACAAAAAGACAGACACATGTTTTTGGAAGCTATTTAGACAAAAGTCTAGGATTAGACTGTGGCCACAGAAGAAAACAAGCATGGGAAGTGAGGACAAATGGCACACTTAGTCCTGGGTTTCTGAAACAAAGAAGTGGGAGAAAAACACACAGAAAAAATATAAGGCTGTGAAATTCCCCTTTGACACCATGGGCAAAGGTATACAGAAGGTATCTAAAGAGACAAGAAAAGTACTGTAGGCATGATCACATTAACAACATTGTGGTTTGCGTAGATGACAGAGAAGCACAATGAGAAAAAATAAGGACTTGAAGAGGTTTAAGTCATCAAATAATTTCAGTTTCTAACTTTGCAGACTTAAATACTAAAAATGGTTGGCCTAACAGAATTGTTTGCTGCAGTAGCTTCATGACAAATACAATCATGATATTAAAAAAAACAAAAACCCAAACCCCAACAACTTAAAGGCATGAAAATCACAAGATTAAGAAAGTTAAAGCATTTAAGAAGTGCTGCAACAAACCATGTAGTGTGTTAAAATACAGAAGACTGGATTAATAATTAAACAGTATGATATTCAAGGCAGGAGAGTTTTTGTTTCTTATTTGCTGTCATCCATTTTAAAAGGAGAACCACACTCAATATACTTGCCTATGGGAATTTAGTGTCACATTGAGGTATGTACCTTTCATTTTTAAATTCTGGGCTTAGCCAGGTTTCTGAAGGAAAAAAAGGCTTGTGTGATTAAACTGCACCTGTTTACCTAATAATTTCTGAACTTGGTGTCTGAAATCAGTACTTCTTGAAAGCTGGGAGGACAGACTTCAAAAGTAATTAATACCCTACCCCCTGGTTTCATGAAAACAGGCAGCAGATACAGAAATTGATGCTTTGTATGCCTCAGCAATGGGAACAACTGCAGTCCACTGAGTTTGCTCCATCTCTGTCTGCTCTTTTCCTTGGTCCCTACCTGTAGTGCTGACTCCTGGCAGTCTGATTTTAGCCCCACTCCTGAACAGGCTTCCCGTCTCTGCCTCACGGGGTTGACCTTCGCTGAACTCCTAGCCATGTCTTTTCTTTAGCTTGATCTTAGGCTTCTCTGTCTCCTGAGGACGACCTACTTTGATCACAAAATGGGTTCTGACTCCACCGATTTCAGCTGGCACCAACACTAGACCTGGCAGATCCATGTCCACATCCTGTGTTTTGTCTCCCAAGCACCCAGCTGCCCACAGTCACTCACACATCATACTGGAGTGAGACTAACTGTGTAGGGTGGGTCTCAAAACTCATTCTGAGAGCACGTATAGCCTGAAACAGTGGTTTCAAAAAGACTTCTGGAGGATGTTGAAGTCTGTGCAATTTGGCTACAAATCACAGATCCATAAAACACAAACTTCCCTAAAAAAGTAATTCTGGAGCTCCAGCCTCTGTGAATCTACTGCTGCTCTGCAGTAACTAGCTTTCACTATTGTGATTAATTAATCACTGAGTTGAACTGATAAAGAAAACAAACAAAATAGAAGGAACTTGAATGGCGCGAATGAAGTCTCTCAGGTTTCTGATTAATTGGCTCTGGCACCTAAGTAAACTACCAATTCCAGATTACACATAAATTATTAAAGTATTATGCAGTCACTTCAATAAATCAGTCCACGAGCAACATAAAATACTCCTCAGGAGAAAGGTTTTTTCACTGTCCAGCTGCATTGCTGAGTATGCAGGAACACTGCTGCAATACATTCCAGAAAACCAGTGTGTGGGAGAAATAAAACAAATTTTCATGCTAGGATTGTGCGGGATCTGTACTCATGTTCATGCCAGCAAATAAAAAGCTCTTCCTTAACTAAAACACTCATTTCATCATGGCACAAATCTAACAACTTATCTATCTCCCTTAGCTTACTGTCATGTATTTTATAAGATTGTCACTCATAATTCACTGGAATTTATTTTAGTTTGTTTTTAAAGGAAAGTACGCTCAACACTGAAATTTGTTTGTCTAAATTCTAAATTTTAGTCAGGATTTTCTGTTCCATCAAAGAGACACAGCTGACATGGCAGACCAGTTCTAAACATAGGTTTGAGAACCTCTATCTTGCTTACATCAGAAAGATGACGATTTTCAGGAAACAACACAAAGCGAGAACACAAAGCTCAACTCAGAATATTCTGTGGTTGTACATACCTTCATTTTCAGTATTGGCTGGAACAGAATCAACACCAAAGGGATGCCATGGCTGAAGGTCGTCTAGGCTGAACTCCCCATCCACTGGAAGAAGTTCAACTGTGGTCTTAGTTTCCGTCAATGAAGGCATGAGAGCATCATTTCCATAGCTGATTCTGGGTTCGCTGATCATATTGGCCAAAACATCATCAGAATAGTTTTGCTCTTTCTGAAGTAATTCATCTGTAAGGAAATTTAAACACAGAAACTATCTGAAGGAACCAGCATTTCTGAGGATCTATTTCCAATGCTATTAAAGTAATAATTTACTGTTCTGAGATTCTGTTTTCTTATGATAAAGAAATACATAGAGGCTTGGAATAGTCAAAACTCTGTGATAAGCACTGCTGCTAAGTAAGCCTTTTTTTTTTTTTTTTTTTAAACATCAACCAGAATTGTTCAATAACACTTCCTACCCACATTTTCACCACATAACAGATCACAGGCCTGTGCTTTACAAGTCCCTGGACTCTTCCTCACCACTTTTAAAAGCAGCACAAATCAATACCCTTCAACTGAACATGTTGCCGTAAGTCAATATGCAAGACATCCACAGGAAAGGTCTTTTTTATTTCCCCTTCCTCTTAAATGCTCATTATCAAATCTCATCATGGCTCTTACATCCTACGCTGCCACAACATTAACTGTATTAAGCTGGGCTTGCTCTAACACACTGAATCTGACAAAACGTTTGTTCTTCTAACATTAACTTTGTCATAACACTGAAGCAGTTCTTCACTAAAAATCTTAAGTAGTAATAGGTGTCTGTAGGCAAATTATTTTACAAGCAACCAGGATCTAAAGCAATATTATCTAGGTTGGGTTTTTTTTTTTTGGACTTAAGCAAGATGAGAACAATCAAAGCATGTTTCAGCTCCATCAGATCTATAGATAGGCCAGACTATCCAACTCAGTGTTAAAAGTAAGCTTGGAGGTTGTGTGTGCTTCATTCTTCTGACTCCCTTCTCACACTCCTCTACTCTTGATCTTACCCTTCACTGTCCCTTTTTATTTTTGTAGGAGCTACACACTACTTTGAGGGAACTTGGCGCACAAGAGTGCATTAAAGCAAGCAAGCAGTCGCAATGAAGAAGATAACCAACTACTAATAATGCATCAATGCAATTAGTATGCAGGCATTACAGAGCTAAAGAGTTCAGAATTGTCAAGGTTATGCAAGTGCTTGCTCACATGAGCACACACATGACAGCTGATGATACAAAAGCTTTTATTAAGACTGGCTTCTCTTTTTGCTTTGCTAAGGTACCTCCCTCCTCCCTGACTGTCACTGGTTCGAACCCATATCTCAAACCTGTATCAATCCAGGGACAGCAATCACCACCCTACCTGATAGACCCTTTATGTCACTCCATAGAGGCTCACTTATTTCCCATTATTATCAGTGATTATCACATTTCTATACACATCAGAGATTTACAGCCCTCAGTAAAATAATTTGAATGTTATTTCCCTCCCAACCTTACACTGCGCAAAACCACCACAGAAGTACTCTGCACCCATGCAGCAATCCTCAGTAAGGGTCCCCAGCAAGTAACGACCATTAGAGCTAGCACTGCTTCAGCTCCTTTATCAGTGATGATGCAGTAGGGCTCTGCTCTGCAATATGTCTCTTAAAAACCACCTCTTAGTGAGATAGTTGATGCAACTCTCTGCCACCTCACTACTATACCAAATTTGGAACATCAAAACTAAACAAAAAGTTCTAATTCCAGCCCTAGGGCGAATATGGGTCTTTAATCTTGTAAAATGATGTTTTAAGACAAATGTTCCGGTTTAAACAGCAATTGGTTTACTAGACAGTAAGCCTAATGCACATACAAAATGCAATTCTGTGATTTAATTTGATCCTTAGAAGGACTTACTAGGACAGTATAGAAAGCCTACGTAACACTGAATTGTTTCTCCCTTTGTGTTCACTTTATTGCAAACAGTATTATTTTATAAGAGATATCATAAATCTTCAGCATGGAAGGCAAGTCTGCACTTACACTAATCCTTTATCAAATTAAAGTGTCTCCTTGTATTAGGAGAGACAGGCAAAGCATCTTGATATTCTGAGCAGACACTGAATCACATAACAGGTATTAATTTTCAATACCTAGGAACAAAGAGACTTTTACAAAAACAAAGAGCAGGATGTTAGTGGCCTGAGCGAGAAGTGTGGCGTTCAAGTGCCTTGCACAGAGCCACAGGTGATACCCGTTGGGCACGTGATAACGTCAAGTCACCACAGATCACAGCAAAGTGACTGTTAAGAGTACTGCTGAGCATCTTAGTGCCTGCAAGCCTTTTAGACTCAGGATTTGGAAAACGCTTGGGGTGCAGCTCCCCTCCTTCCTGCTCTCCTCTCCATCCCCAGAGGATTGTGTGGGGCAGGTGAGGAGAGCTGCAGCCCATGCAGCAGAAGCAGCGAGCAGTGCTGGGGTGCTGTGCCCAAATCACCCCTTTTCTCCAGGCGATGCTGATTTTCCACAACTCTTGTCTACTCCCTGCTGCCAATGCACTCTGTTCTTCCTGCAGACAGCTCCTGCCCTTGGAAAGGGACAAATGGTGCACAAGGGGAAGGAGCTGGCCTCTGGTGGCAGCAGAGCAGCTCCGCAGCTGGCACAGCTCTCAGGGAGAGGCCATGGCGTGGGCTGACAGTGAGGGGCACCAGACTGCCATCACGATACCATGAGTATATCCAAATCCCTAGAGACTGCGAGGTATGAGTACACAAAGTCTCTCTCTCAACGCTACCCAACTGGGAGCACGTCGTCGCCGGCACTCGCAGGCTCCATTGTTTCCCATTCAGCTGCAGCGCACAGCACGGACATTAACTGACCTGCACAATAGCTCAAGTGAGGCGGACAGATATTACAACCAGCAGATCATGATCACATCCATTTTACAAGCAGGGAAACAATGGCCAAAATGAATCAAGCCCATCTGACATGATGAGTCAGATGCTGAACGACAGTGAGAAATTGGAAGTGTCTGGCTTAGAAACTGTGCTGGAGTCCATCAGGCTGAGGCAGCTGTGTCTGCTGTGAGTAAATGACTTGCAAACAATTGTTTCAATCTCTGAACTGATAAAAAAAGTTTGCCCTAGGACTTCCAGTCATCAACACCAGCTGGCAAAGTCCACGATCAATTTTTCAGTGTTGATTTTGTTATAAGTATTGATGGCTAGTTGAACCATCAGTTACGCTAATGGGAAGCCATACAGCCTTACTGTTACCCATCGATACAGTATTCCCTCTCTTTTTCACAGTTGCCAACTCAATTCCCCCACTCTGCAAAAGACAATTCCCTAAATAAGCAGGAAGTACAGACACAGCTGGAGGCTAGGATATGCATTCAAGACTGTTTCAGGGGTTTTCTTTTCGTGGTGAATACTTCATTACTATGTGCTGAAAACAGAGCGATTCTAGGCTGCTCTTCAAAATTTCATCTCCTGTCAAACCAACAGGTCAAAAACTCCACGACAATCTTCCTATAATAATCTTTTTGCTGCTCGCTCATTATCTCCTTGTAGCACTCTGCTAAGTCCTGCCATTGAGAAGAATAAGAAGAATGTCAAAACTTTTTTCTCTCTGAAAGCACGTGCTCAAAAACAACTATGACCTTGGGAAAAAACCACACTTGGAACCTCAAACCTCCCAACGACTCTGGATTTGGTGTGAGGGCACAAGATTGCTGCTTCTCCTTCAGGCACCCAAACCCTTTCTTTCTCACGATGAGACAGGCTCACTTCTGGTAATCAGTAAAACACTTCTCAGACTTACCATCATTTCTAAGGAAGTTTCACTCATTCTTGGGCTCACCACAGGCATTTCCCCATGGGTCACTGCTACTCAACAACAGCATCCCGAAAAATCAAAGTGAAGTTATGTTCGGGGAAACAGATAAAAGGGTAGTATCACTACAACCTCCTTTCAAGACTATTCTCTTATCTTGCAAAGAGACACGTGGAGCCAAAAGCAGAGAAGGAGCAGAGGAAAAGAAATAAAATTTCTTACAAAATCTTCTGGGGGATGCTCAGTTGCTAGAAGCCATTCGTACACAGTGGCCTTGGACCACACTTCTATTTGTAAGGCTTTGCAAAGAGCATTGTACTAGCAAGGATACCACAACAAATCCCAGCAGAAGTGATGGGAGTCTCAAGAATGGCAAAACTCATGCTATTTTGTAACTTTATCTAATTTTTATTGGCATATAACATTGTTTCCAGTGTTGGGACTCTGGGGCATGCTGACCCCAGGCATTAAGTGGCACAGCTGTAATGCCAGAAATTTCATGTGGAACAGCTCCACTTGCTGCCCTGGAATGCCAGCAATCGATTAGTCATCTTTCAAACCATCATTTTTACTTAGTTCATTATTTAAAATTTCCAAATGTAATTATTAGTATTTATTTGTTGTGTTTTCTTTCCAAGGAGCCTATTTTCCAGATGAAAAGCTCTGCTATCGCTATCACTATCACATGCAGGACTTTTGAATTCCCTTGAAAAGCAGCTTTAAAACTGGCAATCGTAATTCTGAAAGTTCTGTAAAACGATTTAAGGTCTTAAACCAGATTAGAAACAAAGTGTACCCAAAACACCTCCTTTAAATACTAATTAAGACACCATCAAATTACATGCCACAGTTTTGACCCAACAGCAAACTTCCTCTGCAAAATGGCATCTGCATGATAGAATATATATTAATTCAACAAATACAGGTTTGGGAACCAGCTTAAATAAACTGGTACAAATGCACAGTCCTATTGCCTCATATTCACCATCTTCTCAGTCACCAGTCTGAACTGAACGTGCATTTTCCCCAAAGTTATGGTTATTTTTGAGCACGTGCTTTCAAAATGACAAAATTAAGAAGTGTCAGCAACCTCCTTACTCTTCTTAATGGCAGAAATTACAGAGTGCTTGAGTCTTGGCAACTGCCTCATTTGCACGTGCACACGTATCAGTTTATACCACTTTGAAGACATTTAAAATCATGCAAATGCTCTATGCCACAATTAGGATTCACTAAGAATATTTATACAATAATTTATTACAGTGCACGTCATAAGAGGTAACATGTTTAGATGCAGCTTTCAGTTATACACCTACTTTATGGCCTAATTCAATATGCCACAGTTCATTATCTTCAACACGAGCATGTGCCCAAAGGAGACAA